CTTTGGAAGTTCGAAATAGGACCTTTGTTAAAAATGATTTTTAATTATTCTACGTAAATAACTAAAAGAGTAAACGGTATATAACTTTTTTTGTGCAAACCTATATTACAGGTGCCACAAAAACAAAGTTATATACCGTTTAACTAAGAGCAAAAGGCATACCACGACTATGTTTTTACTTTTTTAGTAGTTTACTTAGAGTAATTAAAAATATTTTTTTTTTTACCAAAGGTCCAATTTCGAGCTTCGAAGGCCCATAGCTCGCTTTTGGAAGATGCATATAAAGATTAATATTTTTAAATAGCTGGCAACCCTATTCAAAATTATTACTTCGGGTTAAGAGTGCATTTAAATGTCTTTCATTCGCTGAACTCAATGCAAATTTTTAGTCAAAATGTATAAATTTAGTCACTAAAATTTTAAGCGGTTGGAAACACTGATAAAAAGTTTTTTTTTTACAAACAAAATCGTATTAACAAATATTTCATTTCCAGAAACTCACTAAATATTCCACGGAATGCTGTTGATTTAGCTGTTTTTGCCGGCAGGAAAGAGTTAAAGGGGTGAAAAGAGAAAATTAGATCAAATTTTCTTATTAAAGAGAGCGTTTTCGACCAAAAATATTATTTTACATAGAAATTTGAGTATGCTTTCTCTCGTAAAAAAGACGATCACCATATGTATTTGCAAAGATTTTTATAAAAATTATATCCCTGCATATTAGATATTTCTTAGCTAAGAGCCACTTGAGCTTAGAAAATAGTTCTCAAGAAAAATCACAAGAAATATTTTTCATTATATCCTTAAAGAAATAAATATAGGAGCATTTTTTTCTTGAGAACTATAAACTGATTAAAAAAATTTTGTTAGAGGAAAATTTCTTTTTAATTTCTTTATATGAATTTTTTTTATTTAACCGACTTCCAAAAAGGGAGAAGGTAAACCGATTTCGATAATTCTTTCTCGATCGGAAAGGTAGTGTCCCACTGGTAGTGCCATACTAATCTGGTGTAGATTTAAACATTTGATCATGAAAAAATTAACGGTACTCCTAAATTTTTATATGGGAATTGATTTCGGTTGTGTTCACCATATTTCAGCTTTAGACTTTTTTAGGTGAAACAAATATAAAAACCGAGTTTTATTCAAAACGGATAATATTTGCGCCCACAAGTAGCATGGGCGTGGCAATATACCAATAATCAAAATTTTTGCTAATCCGTCTTGTTCAAGTGTATAAAAAGCATATAGCAAGTTGTAGCGAAATCGCTGCACTTTTACTATATTTACAGTTTGTTTGGCAACCTTACGTGCCTTTGAATATTATATTATACAATATGTTGGTTCATACATACATATGTACATACGTACATATATATATCTATGCAATGTTACCTTGGTCGCCTGCATCAACTCAAGCCAATGGCGTTCGCTTATAGCTGGATTTTGTAGCTCAGTGATGGCGCGCAATGATGCCATCAACTCCTTGAGGATATCGACTATGTAAACGTAGGGCGCCCAATCGCGTATGCATTTATCCAGCGTGCGTAGATCGCGCGTAAATTTTTTGCATTCTGTTTCCAATTCATCAGTGTCGATGTTATGCCACGCTGTAGTATGCCATTCAACTATACACGATTCAATGACGTAAACGTAGTCCCATAGTTGCTGCAAATATTTATGTATTTATATTGTACAAGGATGTTGCCGTGAGTTAAATGGTATGAAAATCAAGGATACCATATAATATACATATATCTACTTTGTCATTAATTGTAATCATCTGTGCATATGATATCAAAGCTTAAAAATATCAGCTTTAAAAATATTCTACAACTACCCAAAAAAATTATTGAGATCTTTATTCAATAGATTCAGAGCCATTACAATTTTCTGTTTTATCGGAAAAACGTTGTTCCATAACAGTTATTAGATGAGACATATCTATATTTCATTTCGCCAATAACAGTTATAATCCCACGTTTATTTTTTACGTCGTCTGATAACAGTTATTTCCCACCTCCTCTTTTGTTTTCATCATCGTTATCTTTTTCTCCATCTCCGTTTTCGTCAATATTTTTATCGTACAACGAGAGTCGTCTTTATACCCAAAGCAGGTAAGAACAACCCAGTTTTCTCTAAGCAGTACAGGCCCATAAGAGTGACCTCATTCCTCCTTAAAACGCTGGAAAAAATTCTTGACACTAACATCAGGGACACTCTGTACGCCCAACATGCGTACACTAAGGCAAGTCCACGGAGACTGCACTAGACTCGTTAGTACAACACATCGAGAAGGCTTTAGAATACAAATCATACGCTCTAGGAGTATATATAGATATTTACCGAGCATTCAATAATGTCTCAAACGAAGCTATTATGAATAGCATTGAATCAATGGGCGTTGAATCTGCTATTTCGCTGCGGCGCACGAAGGAAAATAAGAGCGGAGTAGAACGACGCCAGGGTAACCAGACGGGCATGCAGAGTCACACCGCAAGGTGGCGTACTCTAACCACTATTATGGCTACTAACGTTCATCAAATTACTAAAGGAATTCGAGTGGAAACTCCCCGTAATAGTAACAGGGAAGTACCCACTTCGACAATATCAGTAATGTAATGAACAGCGCCCTGAAAGTCGTTGATCAATGGACACTTCGGGGCTAGGGTTTAACGCAAACAAAAGAGACTTTATACTCTGCACAAAAAGATATAAGGTCCCAGTGGGGAGACCCCCGAAGCTAAGTAGCATCGAGCTGTCAATTAAAGACCACACAAAGCCCTAAGGGGAAAATCTCTAGTTCTGAACTGGTGCGCTTCTAGTACATTTAGACTCAGTACTGGTTTGCGATAAATCTCTTTTTCATGCAAGCAACTGGCAATTTAACATGGCGATGTCCTAGGAAGTGTCGATTGCCCCCCGCTGCATCCCTTTTCCGATAGTTCCGAACTACTTCTACGTTCTTGAACAGTTTTCCGAGATACGGCGTTTTCGAACCGGTTGCCGAGATAGGTCGATCTTCTACTCAGCCATCGATATGCTAATTTAAAACTTTCATTCAGGTGTAGATATGTAATTAGATTCTACCACTTTACAAGCAAACGAAAAAAGTTCGCGGTAGAACCGTGAGACTAACGTATTTTCGTAAGGCAATTTGGATTTTTTTGACCGAACCTAGTTCGCCATTTTACATTTTTCGGTGGCACATACATTCGGCAATATATATATTTTTTGAATTGTTCTAGTCGAATAATTGGCAATACATCCTTAGCAAAAGTTTAATGGTTTTTGGCGGGCTTTACTTTCCTGACATTAGGATGGTACACTAGGCTGATAAGAACTGAGATGTGGTGGGTAAGTGCCTTGTACAACGGTATGGTTTAGATCAAAGAACTTTGGCACAAAAAACTTGCGACCGAAGATATGACGAAAAATTCAAAAAGGCGAACTTTTTTGGTGCGGTCTAATGTACGTATTTATATGCTGGTAGAAAATTTCTAGGTCGATGTAAATGTTTTATGATTAACTAACCTTGATGCGTTTTACTTCAGCGGCACACAGTTGCAATGCTGTTGGATCTGCAGCGTCAATACCCAGAAGAGCAGCATAGTGAAGATAGCGGCGATGAAGCGTAGCAAAGTAATTTAAGCGCGCACAAACTCTATCGCACTGGTTGTACACATTGTGGCACGGAACGTAAAAGAACTGAAATGCAGGCATGAATTAATAAATAGAAAAATATGTTTTAGAAATAAAAAGCATCCCAGTTTTATGGCATTTGTTAATAAGGGTAAATGTACATAATTTTGTATTGGAAAACCCGGCTATTTACGAGATTTATGCTTTTATGAGGTTTTTAAGCGTTTAGATAATACCATTATAAATAAGTATCACCACATCCGCTTTTGACAACACGAGGAGAAGCTACCTCTAAGGGTACGTTCACACAGAAAGCGGAGCCGAGCCGAGCAAAGCTGTTCCGAGCTGAAGCTTTCAAATTGCTGTAACTATGTGGAAGTGTTCAAAAAATAAGCTTTTTCAGAAGCCTTTTGGAGCTGAAAGCAAAGCAGTTTTTGATTTTGAATTTTCTATTTAATCTTTCAGCTTCATGGCGCTGCCGCAAACAAGATATCAAAATATTCAAACAAAAACGAATTTTACAACCAATATTTTAAATAAAATTGAGCAAATATTTTTGCCGCTTTTCATTAACGATAATTTTTGTGGTATTTTTTGCAGCCGAGTCCATCAGAAAAGCTCTGCTTCGCTTCGTTAAGTGTGAACACCAGCCGCTACGCTTTGTTCAGCTCGGCACCGCTCGGCTTTCTGTGTGAACGCACCCTAAGACGCCATATGCAAACCGCAAACCTAATACGGCCAAGTAAAATGATTTGGAATACAACTTTCAGCTCTATTCAAGTATAAATTAACCTCGCAGAACCATCCAAGCCAAACGAAAGTTTTGCTAAAGCCCCAGTGTTCTACCTAAAATCCCTAAATAAGTTCGGAGTAGACAACAATTTAGGCTTATCTGCCGCATACTTCACGACAGAATTGTGGCTTGTGCCCGGCTTTCCACGATCGTTGGCATTTCGCTTGTGCTGTCCGATGCGGTCAAAGTTTCGGGAGTTATCCTTGGAAGCCCACTAACGGGGTGCTGGTAAGAAAGGCATCAGTTGCTCTATACTGCTATCTAAGTGCTATGAGACATCTACTCTATGCTGTTATATTGGAAACCTTAATGAAGCCAATTACGGTTACATTACGTCACTGTCTGATGGAACTAACTTGAAAAGCCTACTCTTGTTAAGAAGCTGAGGCGCGTGAAATTTGCCTTTATGTACCTTTAAGGGGTTCATTGTAGGGTGGCAACATCTGAAATAGAGGTCCAATAAACATCTTCACAAATGGCTCATGAACACTTCGTAAATCTTCTGAGCTGCCTGATTTCTACAGCGTTTTTCCGGAAGAGGTGGTCTCCGATCATGGTTGGTTGGGAAAGGCCTGACCTCTCTCCCGATCGAGTCGGGGTACTTCAAAACCAAGTTCAAATGGGTCCCAGAATACAGGAAAATTACAGGGAATTGCATGGCTGGTGAATCAACTGCCCGTCTACTCTGTACAGGATAATCATACTTGTAGAATACTCTTTGACAGATTCGCTCAAAGTCGGCTGGGCGATTTTTATTTCTTATATTCATATCGTACGATTTTTTTTTTTTTTACAAATTTTACCCGCAGTAACCATTCCAGGAATAATCCACTAAGTGGTAATATAATGGAAAACATGCTAAGCTCTAAGTGAACCTCTCGTAGGGCTCCCACCTAACATAATCTTACCTAATTAGTAACAGCAGAATTTATTGCAATGACGTTAATGTTTATTCTTCTTTATTTTATACTCACCGGCAAGCGTGGAAATTGTTTAGCATAATTGTGTAAGTGACACATATATATGGCAATCATGGCATTAACACGTTCACGTTGATAGCGTTGCGCGTCCTCCAAAGCCTCCGAACGGGCGTCAGCAACATCCTTCAAATGCTTCCACTGCAGCGGCAAATGATCGATTTTACGCAAAAGTTGTTGATCAAATTGGACATTATATGCTTTCAGCAAAGCTATAATATCCTTGAGGGGCTTAAACATATTATCTGCATAAGTGGCATGCTTTCGAATTTGTGCCATAACAGCTAAAACACGCAGCAAACGACGAAAACTCTTTACACCTACCGGCAGTTGTAGAATTGCTAAGCCATGGCTGATAAATTTGGTCAGCTCCTGGTGCATTAAAGAACAGAAAGAGAGTGCATATAAATACATATACATATACAATTTGTACAGCGCTTACATTTAGCGTGCGTTCCACGTAGTGCAGCAGCCAGCGTTTGTACAAGTGCGTCCATTTACAAATATGGTTGATTAGTGCATATTTCAGCGGATTCAAGTCGATGCTTAGCCAACCGTTTATGCGCTGCTGGCCAGCCAGTTGCTCGATGGCCTCATGGTGCTCATTGTAGTGATCAATCTGGCAATAGAAAGAGATTAAAAAAATGTACACATAAATACGTACATATATGGTTGGTTGCAAAAGCAATACATAAAACATTTTTAAAACAAGCCTGAAGCACTGAGAGACATTGAGAAGTGGTTGCCCAAAGACAACTCAAAACAGCTGGGCAGGCGTCAGCCACAATTTAGCCAACCAAAAATACGAGTACCATACAAATATTCATAGAATAGACGAATACAAAATTGTAAATCTGTAAATTGTTGGTCACTAATTAATCAGCAAGAAAGTGACATGAGTACATTTGCGGTGAGAGACGCAGGTGCCTTATTTGCTACGAGCAATAAAATGCATCATACTCTGGTATTTCAATCTGGCAAACTTATGCAAGTACATACATTCATTCATACATTCATTCATTCATGTAAGTATAAACCATTTGTACGATAGTATGCGAAATGGACGCTTAATTTGGGTATTTTAATTTAATGCGCTCACGCAGCCAATACATTTTGCAATCACACACTTACATGCAATATTAGCAATTTACATTGATTACAAATGAGTCATGTGTACTTATGGACATATGCATAGATATGTAAGTATGTATGTACATAAATAAGCATGCATGTGACAGCAATATTTAGGGGCCCAGCTGGAAAGTAAATGATTACATACTCGTATAGTTGATGGCGGCTGCGGAAAATATTCAACTTCCTTTGCGTATATTCGATGAGTGTATGTGTAAATACAGTACTGGTCAGCAAAAGGTTACCATTATTAAAGCTTAGCGTATTCACATAAGTTTTTGATACAAGTTTTCACCAAGCCATATGGTTGGGTTGCAATTTCATATAATGGTACATACAGTGATGGGCATATTAAAATACTTTTGTATTTCAAGCATTTCTTTGGATGGAGAGGATTAATTAAAAAATCTAGTAATTAAAATTTAAGTATTTATCGGATGCTAAATACCAAAGTACTAAGGTAGTTAGTCGATTTCTAAATACTAAGGTTGCGTTTCACCAAACTCATTGCAGTGGAAGTTAACTTCAATAAATTTGTTTAATACTCATTTAATTTTTTTTTCGTCTTCAATAAGCTGTTTATTTATGTGACTAAAAAAATATGGCAGCACCGTACTAAAAGTGGTTGTAAAAGCAGGCCTGGTAAACAGCTGATACACAAAATTGTGGTGTGTGTATATTGATCAGCTGATTAAATATAACTCAGAGTTATGAGTGTGGTTATTCTAATTTAATTTTTATTTAAGTGAAGAGCATAGGTCACTTAAATCAAAATTCAAATTGATTGGTGAAACCAAAAAATTCAAATCTAAATTAATTTTCACTTAAATGAATTTAACTTTAAAAAAATCTGGTTTAGGAAAATAATAAATTATCGAAAGTCTTTGCTTTTTTGTTTTAGATAGGAAAAGGGTAAATTTATTAGTGGCGTTCGGGATTATTTGATTCAAGGGGTTTTCCGATTTTTTCGTGATTTTTCCACAGTTCATCGTGTTTTACATTTCGAATTTATTTTAAGAACTTCGGGTTTTCGAGACTTCTCTTTGCTTTGCTTCTTTCCGGATTTTTCGTAATTATTTGAAAAATATTTTTGCCGATTTTTCGGTACTTTTCGGGAATATTTCAGGATCAGTATTTTGGTACCCGTTATTTCGTTAGGTAAAAGTAACTAAATGATTTTCTACTCAGTATTTAAGTCTTTGAGTATATATCTATGTATAAATACTTATGCTTCATTGACTTCAATAGTGTCGTAATCCAAAAAATATAAATTTTGAGTTGAGTATGCAAATACTATATATCTTCTGTGTAGTGTAAAGATATCATAGCTGTATCGATTACCAGCATCTCACCAGAAATAAATATGTATGTATGCATATGTAAATTTAAAACTTAAAAGCCGTTTTTATCGAGTTTAGCTTTTTTGAGTTATAACGTTATTGAAGTAAAGTGATAGTCGTATGCGTTGTTCGGACTTAACTAAAAAATTACTGGATGGATTAATTTCCGGAGGTTATACTTTGCATATTTTGTTTCATTATAGGCTATATTCGCTAGATGGCGCTGGAGTCGAGTTATTTAGAAAACCAGTATTTATAGTACAATGTGGCGGAAATTTATAATGTATATTAATTGGGCCCAATAGATGGCCCTGCAAATATAGCGACCCAAATCAAAGGAATCTCTGGTCATTCAGATATTCCTGCGGCGACTACATCCTTCCAATAAAGAACACGGTAGGTATGTACTATATACAAACAGCATTGGTAATCTTTATCTGGCCACTACTGTACATACCTACATATGTATGAGTGTGTTCCGCAATTCCGCAATGGCTTCTGGTAATAGTTGACCGATTTTAGTTGGAATATTAATGTTGTTTTGGCTTAGCTGCGGATAAAGCAG